CCTACCTGAGACACTCTGTCCTACCTGAGACACTCTGTCCTACCTGCTGCCTCTGACTCTCTGTAACCAGCTCTACATCAACAGATAGATAAAATATTATGTTTTTACTGCCACCTGAATTAAGTCAGCTTTAAAAAGTCAAGAAAATAATGTGTAAATTATGAAACTAGCATATTAAATTAGAGAAATAATCTGTGATTTATGAATGTAAATTACAACAGGGAATCAATAAAAAATCACCACAGTGGACCTCGACTCAGTCTTAGCATTAAAATATTAAAATTTAAAAAAACCCTCAATAATAATAATGTCATCACTAAATGATTTCTTTTCTTTTTTTTTCTTTGGATTTCTTTTGAATCACTAAATGATTTCTAAGCTGATAGATAACTAGCAGCAAGATAACGTTTCATAAGAAAAATAACTGTCCTACTTTTTGACTTATTTTTGGTCCTTTGTAAAGAATAAAGTTTTTCCCTTCTAACCCTCCGGGGGTGGTCTCTTTCATCCTCTGAGCTCGGGTCCTCTACCAGAGGCCTGGGAGCTTGAGGGTTCTGCGCAGTATCTTGGCTGTGCCTAGAACTACATTTTTGTCTGTTTATTTGTACTTTTACTTAAGTACAGTGTTTGAGTACTTTCTCCACCACTGCACACCTGTCCTTCAGAAAGTTATGCCCTTGATTGTAACAAAGTAAATGTGAGTTACTATCTTTGCTGACCACACTCATTATCAAAACATACAGTATAAGATAAACATATACTGGTAAGTCATATTAGGTTATGATAAAGTTCAAAGCTCATACCCATCAATGAGAGCAGCTCTGGCTGTCCGGGATTTACCGGGTTTGGTGTCATCGGGATCATACCAGCTGGAAACATCAAACCTCTCTCTGGGAATTGACACACAGCAGTTTCTCCCATCGACAAGAACCCTCCAAAAGCTGTCAAGACCTTCTCCTGTTGGTAATAAAGAGAAAACAAAACAATAAATATTGTGAAATAAAATTACTAGATTACTTGCATTTCCTGTGAAAATGCAGTGTGAATGCTTTTTGCTGAATAACTTTGCTCGAACCAAAAGTGAGTGGAAATACTTACAAACACTAAATTTTCAATGCTTACTGAATTTGCACATTTGAAGTGGAACCCAAACTTAGCTGAATGATTGCTGAAATTTGCTGAAGAACCTAAACTATGAAAACAAATGCTTATCATTGTTTAAAAGCTATATCAACCATGTGAGTTCCTGAATCATCTGTGTGTAAAGCAAAATTAACACCCAAAAACACACATGTCAGTTTATCTATCACTACAGGAATGCAGAACGACGTAAGAGAAACACCAGAAATTTCCCAAACTTAAATGCTGATTTTACAAGACAACAAAAAGCTGAATCATTCTGTAATAAATAAATGTCTAATGTCGTTTAAAGCCTTTCTAAGCGAAAGTCTGGTGAAGCAGTTCAAAAAGTAGCAAGATGATGTGATTTCATGGAATTTCAGTGTACTTCAATGAAAAAAAAATGGTAAAAAATAGTAGAATATCCTTTAAAAGTTTGAATATCAATACCAAAATTCATGACAGCTATTTCCTGAAAAAGAGTATTGTTTTGATACACAAATTGCTAAAATAGCTCAAAAACTGTGGGAAGAGATAATTGTGTCAACAAAGAGAAGAAAAATTGATGAGATATTATCATTGCTTGTCAAAGCTTAATGCGGAGCTGCAGCGGGTAAAATAAGTATTGAACACGTCACCATGTTTTTCAGTAAATATACAGTACTGTATTACTAGAGGTGCTAATGACATGAAATTTTCACCAGATGTTGGTAACAACCCAAGTGATCCATACATACAAAGAAATCAAACCATAAATGTCCAGAAATGAAGTTATTTGTAATAATGTGGAATGGCACAGGGAAAAAGTATTGAACACACTTACTGAAATTTATCTAATACTTTGTACAAAAGCCTTTGTTGGCAATGACAGCTTCAAGACGCCTCCTGTATGGAGAAACTAGTGGCATGCATTGCTCAGGTGTGATTTTGGCCCATTCTTCCACACAAACAGTCTTCAAATCTTGAAGGTTTCGTGGACCTCTTCTATGAACTCTGATCTTTAGTTCTTTCCATAGATTTTCTGTTGGATTCAGGTCAGGTGATTGGCTGGGCCATTCCAGCAGCTTTAGTTTCTTTCTCTGAAACCAACTGAGAGTTTCGTTGACTTTGTGTTTGGGCTCATTGTCTTGCTGAAATGTCCAGCCACGTTTCATCTTCATCATCCTGGTAGATGGAAGATGATTTTTATCAAGAATGTCTCTGTACATTTTTCCATTCATCCTTCCTTCAATTATTTGAAGTTTGCCAGTACCATATGCTGAAAAACAGCCCCACACCATGATGTTCCCACCTCCAAACTTCACTGTTGGTATGGTGTTTTTGGGCTGATGTGCAGTGCCATTTGACCTCCAAACATGATGTGTATTCTGGCATCCAAACAGTTCAATGTTGGTCTCATCTGACCAGACTATATTCTCCCAGTATTACACAGGCTTGTCTAAATGTTGTGCAGCAAACTTTAAAGGAGCTTCAACATGCTGTTTCTTCAGCAGTGGAGTCTTGCGTGGTGAGCGTGCATACAGGCCATGGTGGTCCAGTGCATTACTTATTGTTTTCTTTGAAACAAATGTACCTGCTAATTCCAGGTCTTTCTGAAGCTCTCCACAAGTGGTCCTTGGCTCTTGGACAACTCTTCTGATAATTCTTTTCACTCCTCTGTCAGAAATCTTGTGAGGAGCACCTGGTCGTGGTCAGTTTATGGTGAAATGATGTTCTTTCCACTTCTGAATTATGGCCCCAACAGTGCTCACTGGAACCTTCAGAAGTTTAGACATTCTTCTGTAACCGATGCCATCATTATGCTTTGCAACAATAAGGTTGTGAAGGTCGTGAGAGAGCTCTTTACTTTTACCCATCATCAGATGGTTCTTGTGTGATACCTGGCCATCATCTGGGACTGAACCAGCTGATATTAACTTGCACTGACAAGGGGCAGGCTTGCTTTCTAATTACTGAGATAGTTCAGCTGGTGTCTTGGCTTTCCATGCCTTTTTACACCTCCCTTTCTTCATGTGTTCAATACTTTTTCCCTGTGCCATTCYACATTATTACAAATAACTTCATTTCTGGACATTTATGGTTTGATTTCTTTGTATGTATGGATCACTTGGGTTGTTACCAACATCTGGTGAAAATTTCTTGTCATCAGCACCTCTAGTAATATATTTACTGAGAAAAATGGTGACGTGTTCAATACTTATTTTACCCGCTGTATATGATCGGCATAAATCAGATGTAATCCACTTAACTGCATGAGGCAGAAACACTCACCCACAAAAAAAGGAAGAAATTTTTTCCCTACCTCCTGGAAAATTGCATCCAATTCCCACCACAGCAATCCCATTTTCTGCTTCCTCCATCCTAATTGAGCAGAAAATATTTACATCAGCAGCACTTTCAGCCATTTTCACAGAGCAAAGAAAAAACATACAAAAAACACTTTTAGTTGTGTTTAGACTCACATCTGAAGTGTGTGTTTAGTGCAGTTTAGCGACGCTCCAATGCATCTTTACATCCATCCCTCTCGCAGCGTCTCTCAGATGTTATCAGTGTCAGACTCACAGCATGATTCTTATAGGCAGCTTCTTTGGCTTATAAAACTTTAATGAATGAGCGTATTCATGACCATGGAGATGAAGGACTTCAGTGCACACATATATGGCACGTTGCAAATGATTAGGCCACGTTTAATCAATGTGTTACGTGAAAGGACTGCTTTCATTTAGGTTTGTCCATTAAACCTGATCAAATTACCTGGTTCAGCCTCAAGAAAGAAACTCAATAAGGAGCTGTTCTTACTTTCTCATACTGTTTGCTGAAAAAATTAAAGATAATAAAAACAAACAAACAAAAAACTGTTTRATAACAATAGTTATCTAACTCCTGATCAGAGGAGTTGAAAATGTTTTGATTGTAATCTATTACTTTAGGATTTATTTATTTTTCACAACAACCGGTAAAAATTGAGTAGGTCGGGTTATTATAGCCTGCTGCCAAAAGCCAAAATATAACTATAATGTTTACCAGTGTTTGTGTGTGTGTGTGTGTGTGTGTGTGTGTGTGTGTGCATGTGTCTTTGTTTGCTACCACCAAAATAATGACACTTTCCAGAAATCTATAACTGTACAGCTACAACCCCAATTCCAATGAGTTTTGGACCTTGTGTAAAACGTATATAAAACAGAATGCAATGGTTTGCAAATCAGTTTTAATCTATATTCAACTGAACAAGATATGTAATGTTCAAATGGATAAATATCATTATATTTATGCAAATATTCACTCATTTTGAATCTGATGCCTGCAACACATTCCAAAAAGCTGGGACAGGGGCGTGTTTACCACTGTGTTACATTTCCTTTCCTTTTTAACAACACTCAGTAAGTGTTTGGGAACTGAGGACACTAATTGTTGAAGCTTTGTAGGTGGAATTCTTTCCTGTTCTTGTTTGATGAACAACTTGAATTGCTCAACAGTCTGGAGTCTCCGTTGTGGTATTTGTCGCTTCATGATGTGCCACACATTTTCAATGGGTGACAGGTGTAGTACCTGCACTCTTTTAGTCATGTGCAGAATAGGACTTGGCATCGTCTTGCTGAAATAAGCTGGAACATACCTGAAAATGATGTTGCATATGTTGCTCTGAATCCTTTATGTAACGTTCAGCATTAAGGATGCCTTCACAGATGTGTAAGTTATTCACGCCATGAGCTTTAACACAACTCTATACCATCAGAGGTTCTGGCTTTTCAACTTTGTGCTGATAACAATCCGGACAGTCCTTTTCCTCTTTGATACGATGTCCATGATTTCTAAAAAACAATATGAAATGTGGACTTGTCAGACCACAGGACACTTTTCCACTTTGTGTCAGTCCATCTCAGATGRGCTCAGAGAAGCCAGCAGAGTTTCTGGGTGTTTTTGACACCTGGCTTTGCATTGTAGAGTTTTAACTTGCACTTGTAGACGTATAGAGGTGAACTGTGTTCACACTGACAACAGTTTTCTGAAGTGTTCCTGAGCCCACGAGGTAACATCCATTTCAAAATGATATTTGTTTTTAATTCAGTGCTGCCTGAGGGATCAAAGGTTATGGCCTTTCAATGTTGGCTTTCAACTTTGCTGCTTACTTGCAGTGATTTGTTCAGATTCTCTGAATCTTTTTGATGATGTTTTAGATTGTAGAAGATGAGAAGTGGTGAGCCTCGCCCCATCCTTGCTTGCTTGACTGAGCCTTTCAGGGATGCTCCCTAAATATGCAACATAGCACTCACTTGTTTCCAATTAACCTGTTTACTTGTGAAATGCTCCAAACAAGTGTTTTTTGAACCTTCCTCCACTTGCCAAGTCATTTGTTGTCCCTGTTCCAGTTGTTTTGGAAAGTGCTGCAGGTATCAAATTCAAAACGAGTGAATATTTGCAAAAAACCAATAATGTTAATCTGTTTGAACATTAAATATTTTGTCTTATAGGATATTTAATTAAATATAAGTTGAAAACGACTTGCAAGTTATTGTATTTTGTTGTTTTTTGTGTTTTACACAACGTCCCAACTTCATTGGAATTGGGGTTGTACAACTGAATAACTTCTGGAGCTAATTCAAGATGGCTGCCACTGCAAGCTATACTTTGCAAATATGGAAAATATATATTGTTATGGTAATATTTATTTAATAAAGACAGAAATACGTGGTCCAAGAATGAAGGTACTCCGTGAGATGATCAGCTGAGTTTTATTGCAACAACAGGAAACACAGAGAACAACCTGGCCTGTCTCTGTGCCTCTGCTTCTCTCTGTCACTGCACACTACTGTTGAACTCTGTTGAACTCTGTTGAACTCTGTTGAACTCTGTTGAACTCTGTTGAACT